AGAATATTTACTTATAATTATTTCAAAAAGGTAAAGAATATTACAACCCAGTAAAACATAAAATTCAGCTTTCAGATCTGATATTTGTGGTGACATACAAAATTTTTGTTTTGTCGACCTATACATGCTTTATTTTCAGTGCAAGAAAGATACATTTATTAGTTATATATATTTTTTTGTAATGACTTTTATTTGACTTACTTTATAAATGGTTACTGTTTGAATATTAAATGTGGAATTCACGGCGACGTGTGGAAATTTTTGTGTTGTGATACATGGTACAAGTGCGATGGAATATTAGAAATGTTTGTCACAGATCTTGGTTCATTAATTATAGCCTCGAATGGAAAGACTTTTCCTTAAATCATATATTTATGTCTGATATAACTTGATACTGTTGCTCAGAATGACATTTGACTGTACTCTGGATATGGGAAGGCCACTGGCAGACTCCACATCTGCTTCTGATAAAATGCGCCTCTCAGGTCTTTGACCAAATGAAATTGGCAAGGAATAGAAGGCTCTCACAATCCCATGACTGTTCAAGTTCCAGTGGGAGTGCGTTTGTGCTGAGAACTATAGGAGTCTGTATTTTATTCGGATGATAACTGCTGAAACAAGACTCTCATGCAAACTTGTATGTGAAGTCTGATTTCAGAATTGGCAAGAATGTATTCAAACAGCAAAGCTGCCTGTTTTTATTACAGTAAGGTATACGTCACTGCACAATTATTGTTCATTGAGTTTAGAATCATACAGTGCTTAATCTTGAAAATCAGAGAATATATAAACCTTTTTTCTATTTACCTGTATATAAGGTAACTAGAAGACAATGCATTAGTCAGAGTCATATCTATGTTACAGATGGAGCTATTTAGTGCAGTTGTGATTCTAGAGTCTTCATTTATTAGTGAACTCTTACTTTTTTACTTTAGTGATCATACATGCATATTCCCACTACTTTTTCATTTAAAACTTAGAATATGAAAAATAATAGCTCTTAATTGCTACAAGTTTTTTGAAGTAATCTCAAATAACAATTCATCCTTCAGAAAATTTACTTTTTCTTTATTTAATAAATAACCTGCCAATTTTTCTATATTTTAGAGGAGTGTCCATTTTATCTAATTATTACTCATAAAAGAATTCCAGAGATCTTTCACAGAAAAAGAATATAATACTGGGGCTGGGGATTTAGCTCAGTGGCAAAAGCGCCTGCCTGGCAAGCGCAAAGTCGTGAGTTCGGTTCCCG